GACGGAGGGATGGCGGCAGTGACGGGATGGACCTTGCTGTGACGAGGCAGTTGCTGTGACGAGGCTGGCGGCAGTGACGGAGGGATGGCGGCAGTGACGGAGGGATGGCGGCAGTGACGGAGGGATGGCGGCAGTGACGGAGGGATGGCGGCAGTGACGTGACGAGGCTGGCGGCAGTGACGGAGGATGAGTGACGGGGATGACGGCAGTGACGGGATGCAGTGACGGAGGGATGGCGGCACGGAGGGCCGGGATGACGAGGCTGGCGGCAGTGACGGAGGGATGGCGGCAGTGCGGCAGTGACGGGGCTGGTGGCAGTGACCGGCAGTGACGGAGGGATGGCGGCAGTGACGGGCAGTGACGAGGCTGGCGGCAGTGACGGAGGGATGGCTGGCAGTGACGAGGATGGCGGCAGTGACGGAGGGATGAGTGAATGAGTGACGGAGGGATGGCTGACGAGAGTGACGGGATGGCGGCAGTGACGGAGGGATGAGAGTGACGCAAGAGAGAGATGTCTGGCAGAAGCGACACTTGCCGTGCTCCCTTTTGACACTCATTGTTTCCCCAGCACAAAGAACAAGCCTGGCGAACACAAAGCTCCACAAGACAAATTGTTGCTATTGTTTAACACGTATCCGTTCCCACTCTGACTGCTGTTTCCTGCCCCTCCCCCCCGCCCTTCCCCTCCTCCTTTTGTCGTCGTCGCCTCGCCAACCTCCTTCGTCTTCTCTCTGTATCAGTTCGTCCTTCGCTGTCTTTGTTGTTTATTGCTTACCTGCTTTTATCAACTTCATGAGCTCGCACGTCCGTCACCTTGTTACCATTGATGCGTTTTCATTTTGCTTCATTGCATCTCTTGCAGTGTTTCATCTCTTTTAATGTTTCATTTCTCTCTCTCTCTCTCTCTCTCTCTCTCTCTCTCTCTCGTCTCTCTCTTCTCTCTCTCTCTCTCTCTCTCTCTCTCTCTCTCTCTCTCTCTCTCTCTCTCTCTCCTCTCTCTCTATCTATCTATCTATTTCACCTCCTCCTCCTCCTTTTCCCCCTTCCTCTCTGCTTCTCCTCCTTCTCCCCCTCCTTTTCTACTTCCTCCTTCTCCTCCTCTTCCTTTTTTTCCTCTTCACTTTCTTCTCCTCCTCCTCCTTCTTCTCTTCTTCTTTCTTCTTCTTCTTCTTCTTCTTCTTCTTCTCTTCTTCTTCTTCCTTCCCTCTCCACCTCCTCTTCCTCCCTAACCCCTCTTCGGTCCCTTTTCCTCTTCGCTCCCCCTCGTCCTCCTCCTCTTCCTCTCCTCTTCTTCTCCTCTTCCTCCTCCTCTCCTCCTCCTCCTTCTCCCAGCTATCTCCGAATGACTTTAAAAAATCATAGTTCATCACTCTGTGTGATTAATTGATCCTTGCATGGATGGGTTATCTCCCCCCTTGCATCCTTCCCTCCTCCCCCATCTTCCCTCTTTCCCTCCCCTCCTCCTCCCCATCTTCCCTCCCCTTTCCTCCCCTCCTCCCCATCTCCCTCCCCTCTTCCTCATCTTCCCTCCCTTCTCCCATCTTCCCTCCCTCCTCCCCCATCCTCCCCCTCCTCCCCATCTTCCCTCTCCTCCTCCCCTCTCCCCATTTTCCCTGCCCTCCTCCTATCATTCCTCCCTCCTCCCATTTTCCCTGTCTCCTCCCTATCATCCCTCCCCTCCTCCTCATTTTCCCTCCCTCCTCCCCCCATCTTCCTCTCTCCCATCTCCTCCCCTCCTCCCCTTCCCACCCCTCCTCCCCATCTCCCTCTCCCCATCCTTCCCCCCTCCCATCATCCCTGCCCTCCTCCCCATCTTCCCTCCCCTCCTCCCCATTCCCTCCTCTCCTCTCCATCTCCCTCCCCTCTTCCCCTCCTCCCATCTTCCCTCCCTCTCCCCATGATCCCTCCCCTTCTCCCCATCTTCCTCCCCTCCTCCCCATCATCCCTGCTCCCCATTCCCCCCTCCCCTCCTCCCCATCCCTCCCCTTCTCCCCATCTCCCCTCCCCCCCTCCTCCCCATCATCCCACCCCTCCTCCCATCATCCCACCCTCCTCCCCATCTTCCCTCCTCCCTCCCCAGGGCTATTGTCTAAGGCGCCTCGTATGGCCGGGTCGGGGCACGAGGTGGTTTATAGGGCAGTGACGAGGCCTATGGTGCGCCGGCCTTGCACGCAAAGGCAACTCAGAGCTCTTAGGCGCTTCATCTACCTTTTTTTCTCTCTTACTGGTCTCCACATCTTCCTTTTCCTCTCTTCGCTTGTTACTCTATCATCATAATCATTATCTTCATCGTCATCATCTTCATCTTCATCATCATCATCATCATCATCATCATCATCATCATCATTATCATCATCATCATCATCATCATCATCATTTTCCTCCTCCTCCTTAGCATCATCATCATCTTCCTCCTCCTCCTTCTCAACATCATCATCATCACCATCATCATCTCCTTCTCCTCCTCCTCACTCACCACCACCACCACCACCACCACCACACCACCATCATCATCATCATCATCATCATCATCATCATCATCATCATCATTATCATTACCATCACCTTCATCAACAACAATAACAACAGCAGCAATTCTCATCCTCCATCAACAACAACTTTCTCCTCATCCTCTTCCTTCTATTCTCTCTCTCTTCCTCTTTCCTTATCCCCCTTTTCCTCTTCGCATCTAACGTGACCAGTTTTGAGTGTCGTGGCCTTTGATTTGAGATGAGGTTGTGATATTTTTTTCACGTCTCTTTCGCCCTTCCAAGGTTGTGCTCCGTGTCCCTTCATCTCTTTTCTCTTGTCTTCCCTCTCTCTTGTCTTCCCCCCTTTCACTCTTATCGTTTCCCCGTTCCCCCCTTTCTGTCTTCATTATCTTGACCTTTATTCTCACCTCGTGTCGGTCGTCCCCCTTCGAGATACCTGTCGTGGTTGTAAGCGCTCTCCTTCCCGCCTTCTTTGGTAACACTTCATTTCTCTCCCTCTTTACCTTGACAGCGCGTCCTTCACCATCACTCTGGCCTGTGCCCTTTCCCCTCTAAAATTCCCCTCTCTTGAGATCCGGTGTGAGGAGAGCAGGCCTTTCAGAACGCGCTCTTCTTTGGCTAGTTCCTTGGTGACACGTTTGTTTTTTTTTCTATTTTTTAAATTATTTTTTCTATTTTTTTCATCGTTTTTTTTTCTATTTTCTTTTATTTTATTTCATTTTTTTCTATTTTTTTGTTTCATTGTTTTTTTCTATTTTTTTTGTTTCTTTTTTTTCTATTTCTTTTTTTCATTTTTTCTATTTTTTTGTTTCATTGTTTTTTCTATTTCTTTATTTCATTGTTTTTTTTGTTTTATTTTAGTTTTTTTATTTATAAGAGTTCCAGCATTGACCTCAGGCAGCGTTGAATGGCACTGTTTTGCCGCGTCGATTAGTGGCGTGATTGCCTTCCCCTTACTCCTCCCGTTCCTCTTCCAATCTTTCTTTGCATCTCCACCTCTTCCACTTCCTCCTTTATCTTCTCCTCCATCTCTTTCTCCCCTTCTCCTTCTCTTACTTTTTCTTCTTCTTCTTCTTGGTCGTCGTCTCCTCCTCCTCCCCCTCCTTCTTCTTCTTCGTCTTCATCTTTTCCTCTTCCTCCTCCTCCTTCGTCGTATTTTCCTCCTCCTCCTCCTCCTTCTTCGTCGTCTTTTCTCTTCTTTCTTTCTCTTCTTCCTCTCCTCCCCCCCTCCTCCTTTTCCTCCTCCTCCTCCTCCCCTCCCTCTCCTCTCCCTTCCCTCTCCTCCTCTTCCCTTCCCTCTCCCTCCATCCTCTCCTCCCTCTCCCTCCTCCCCCCGTCCGACCTTCGTGGGATGTGCATAAAGAGGGAATTTAAAAGTAGCACAAAATGATATAATGTGATCAAATTACGCGCCGGGAGATGAGCGGTAATGGCCGGCGCTTTTATGTTTGATTAATGATCCCCGCTTTTATTAAAATCTCCACCAGGAAACAATTAATTCCGGACCTTTAAAAGAGAGAGAGAGAGAGAGAGAAGAGAGAGAGAGAGAGAGATAAAAAAAGGAAAAGAAAAAAAGGGGGGACGGGATAAAAAAATTGGAATTTGATTACCTTTGATTGGAACGGGAGGCAAGCGCCGTCGAAGCCTGGGTGCGGCGGCGGCGGACGTTCGTGTCGGCGCCCAAGAAATGTGAATGAATTTGTAATGGGGACTCCTGCTGGGGCGGCCGGGTGGGTGGGCGGGTGGGGTGATGGGTTGTTTGGGTGGGGGGGGGGTGTGGGTGTGTGTGTGTGTGTGTGTGTGTGTGTGTGTGTGTGTGTGTGTGTGTGTGCGTGTGTGTGTGTGTGTGTGTGGTGTGTGTGTGTGTGTGTGTGTGTGTGTGCGTGTGTGCTTGCGTGCATGGTGCGTGCGTGTCTGTCCATGTAAACGAATATGTGTCATTGTTTTTGAAATGAAAGCCGTTAATTGAAATCGGGACAATAACGTGCGTTTTATGCATTCGCCGTGCAAAGGCGCTATAAACCATCTTCCGTATGTTTATGTAAGGAATTAGGGTACTCCGACGCTCGTAATGGCGACTTTCGTGTCAAAGAGTTCCAGCCAAAACAACGTAAACTTAGGTTCTGCATGTTTCCCTTATGATTCGACGGTCGTCTTGCCTCGGCGTAAGAGAAACAAATGAACATGTAACAGCCCCTCAGGCAAATATCGTTAAACTTAATAGTAAGCAATCTTTCGTAATCTTTCGGGTAAGTATGATGTACTTAAGAACTCGATTGTAGGGCGGGCGTAGGGGGGGGGTGGCGTGTTGGGCTCCGAATAAACTCGGCGAGGAGACTTAGGGGCGTGGAACAGCGAGGAGACTTAGGCGAGCTTGTGGAACAGAGGAGACTTAGGGGCGTGGATTGGAACAGCGAGGAGACTTAGGGCGTGGAACAGCGAGGACAGCGAGGAGACTTTAGGGGTGGAACAGCGAGGAGACTTAGGGGCGTGGAACAGCGAGGAGACTTAGGGGCGTGGAACAGCGAGGAGACTTAGGGGCGTGGAACAGCGAGGAGACTTAGGGGCGTGGAACAGCGAGCTTGGGGGCGTGGAACAGCGAGGAGACTTGGGGGCGTGGACAGCGAGGAGACTTAGGGGCGTGGAACAGCGAGGAGACTTAGGGCGTGGAACAGCGAGGAGACTTAGGGGCAGTTAGGGGCGTGGAACAGCGAGGAGACTTAGGGGCGTGGACAGCGAGGAGACTTAGGGGCGTGGAACAGCGAGGAGACTTAAGCGAGCACAGCGAGGAGACTTAGGGGCGTTGCGAGGAGAGTGGAACATTAGAGGAGACTTAACTTTTAGGGGCGTGGAACAGCGAGGAGACTTGGGGGCGTGGAACAGCGAGGAGACTTAGGGGCGTGGAACAGCGAGGAGACTTAGGGGCGTGTTAGGGGCGTTAGGGGCGTGGGACAGCGAGGAGACTTAGGAGGGACTTAGTGGATTAGGAGACAGAGGGCAGCAACTTAGGGGCGTGGGGAGACTTAGGCCCTTAACAAGCGGGGCGTTGAGACTTAGGGCGTGTTTAGGACAGCGAGGAGACTTAGGGGTTTAGACAGCGAGGAGACTTCGTTTTTTAGGGGCGTTTGAATCTTAGGGGCGTGTTTTTAGGGGGGTCACTCAAAAGGTTTCCAAAAAAGGGTTGAATTCTGTTTCCCGCCTTGGTTGCGACTGCGTGTTTGGATTGGGCGGTGATCCAGTATTGATTGGGGACGATTAGGCGGTTGTGTATTTTTTTTTTTTTTTTTTTTTTTTTTTTTTTTTTTTGTCATCGAGTGTGGGCTTATTAGGGTAGCTTCTGTAAATAAAAAGGATTGGAATGTGATAGTGAAGTGAGTCTCTTTTATGAATTATTTTTTTTAGGGAGTTTGTGTCGGCAGATTTAAGTTTAGATTTTTTTATATCTGTTTGATTTTAGTTTTTGTGTTATAAAAGCGTGAATTCGGAATTCCATTTAAATATATTACACATATTTGCATAGCTATCTGTCTGTGTGCAAATATTTGTATACACGCATGTAGCAGTTATTTTTTGGCCATCAGGCGATATGTGACCTGATATATTACTGCATTTATAGACATATGGCTGCAGTGATGTATGTCAGACGGCTAGATATATAGATATACGGATAAATTGATAATCAGAGTGACAGATAAATGAACAGAGCGAGATAGGCAGAGCGGCGCAAACATGGTGTTTGTATGTTCGTGGTTTTATTCTAATCAAATTATACATGTGCATCTTTATTTTTTCGAGCATATCTCTGGGCAGAGTTAATAGCATTGCCATTTTTCTTCCGAATGCCAGAATTAGATTTCGCTTTTTTTCATTTCGCTGCCTCGACATTTTTGCTCCCAAACAGCCAAATGAAATCGGGAAAGGGGCAGCGCGAGGGGGCGCTAAAAGGGAAGGGGAGAGTGTCCTGAAAAGGGGAAGGGAGTGGAAGGGGGGTAGAGGGATAGGGGGTGAAGGGTGAAGGGGGAAGGGGTCAGCGGTCCCGCCGTTAATACTCGCTTATCGAAGGAGCTTGGCTGTCTCACCGCCGCCGCCTCCGCCGCCGTAACCCCTAAGGAAAGTTTTGTAAATGAAGATAAATGATGATTGGAGAGAAGAGAGGGAAGGGCGAGTGGGGAGGGAAGAGAGAGTGGGGAGGGAAGGAGGGTGGTGAGTGGGTGAGTGGGGAGGGAAGGAGGGGTGGGTGAGTGGGTGGGAGTGGGTGAGTGGGGAGGGAAGGAGGGGGTGGGTGAGTGGGGAGGGAAGGAGGGGGTGGGTGAGTGGGGAGGGAAGGAAGGGGTGGTGAGTGGGAGGGAAGGAGGGGTGGGTGAGTGGGGGGTGGGGGTGGGTGAGTGGGGAGGGAAGGAGGGGTGGTGAGTGTGAGTGGGTGGTGAGTGGTGAGTGGGGAGGCTAGAGGTGGTGGTGGTAGGTGCTTTTGGGTGGCGGGGACGGGTATACAGAAGGTAAGAACGTGTAATAGTTCCTTATTTAACTCCACCCTTTTTCTTCGTCTCTCTCTCGGTTTGTTTTCAGTCTTGGTTGAGCATTTATTTCTCTTTCGCTGGCTCTTTTTTTTTCTTTGTGCTTTTGTTTGCATCTTTCTTTTTCTTGCTGTATTTTTGTGTTTTACATTCGAATGATTTCCGTTTTCTTTCTCTCCTTCTATTTCTTTTCCATCTTTTTTCTCCTTCTCCATCCTCCTCCCTCTCCCTCTCCCTCTCTCCCCCTCCTACTCCCTCTCCCTCTCACCTTTGCTCTTTCGCTTTTCCTTTATTTATGTCTCTTTCTTTTTCTTGTCCCTCTCCCTTTTTTCTTCTATCCCTTCTCCCCTTCCAAATCCCATCGTTCTCTTCCTCTCCTTCACCTTCTGCCTCTCCTTTCCATTTCCTCCTCCTTCTTTTTTCCACCTCTTATCTACCCCCCCCCCTTGCTCATATTTTGCCTGACCCTCCTTCTCCCTTTTATCTGGCACCCTCCTGTTCTCTAACCTCCTTCCCCTTGCCCCTATCTCCACCCTCCCTTTTCATCCCCTTCCCCCCTCTCTCTTCTCTCTCCTATGACACTCTTCCTTTCTTTCCTCCCCTTTCGTTCCTCATTCTCTCTCTGACACCTTTCCTTACCTTCCTAGTCCCTTCCCTCTCCTCTTACCTTCCCCTTTTTCCCTTCCCCTTAACAACCCTTTCTCCCCTTTCGCCCCCTCTCCTTTTGACGTCATTCCTCCCCCTTTTTTCTCTTCCCATTCCCCCTACCCTCTTAATACACCCCTTCTCTTTCGCTCCCCATCTCTCCCCTCTTAACCCCCTCCCCCCTCGTCTTCCCCTTTCGCTCTCCTCCTCTCTCTTTGACGTCCGTCCTCCCTTCCTCCCCCTTTCGCCCCCCCTTCCCCCTTCCACCCACAGCCTCCGAAGCCGCGATAAAACCTCTATCTGAAATAAGAATCTCACTTTGATAATCACAAAATAGGTCGAGCGGACTGAATAGAGTTTCAGTCTTGAGGAGGGCCGCCCGGGTTGCAAGTCAGCGTTGGGTGTCTCGAGGGTGAACGCCGCCCCGGTCCTCGCCCTCCTCCCTCCCTCCCTCCCTCCTCCCTCCCTCCCTCCCTCCTCCCTCCCTCCCTCCCTCCTCCCTCCTTCCCTCCTCCCTCCCTTTTTTTTTTTTTTTTTTTTTTTTTTCTTTGGCCCTTTGTCTTTCGCCTTCTGGAATTGGGCTTTGTCCTTCTCCCTTTTTTTTAATTTCTGTTATTATTCTTTCTTGGTTGTTTCCCTTTGAACTGTTCGTGTGTTTTTTTATATATTGTTGATATTGTTTTTTTGCTTTGCTTTCATTTTTTTCTTCATATTATCGTTGATTTTCCTTTCAGTCGTTCGTTCTTTCGTATTGGTGGCTTCTCCATACTATTTCATTTTACCGCTTTTGTTTCTCGTCTCCCCGTGTCGTCTTAAATCCCCTATTTCCTGCTCTTTTTTCTACCATTAATCCTCTTTTACTTTCCCTTCCCTTTGCCCACCATCATCACTTCTTTCCTTTCCTCCCTTTATCACCACCATTTCTTTCCTACACGATTCCTGTAACCTTCAGTCCCCACTTCGTGTGTTTTTTTCCTATTTTATTTCTTGACTAACGTGGCCCCCTTCGCCCCTCTCTCCCCCTCCCCTCCCTCTGCCCCATCCCCCTCTCTCCACGCCCCCCTCCCTCCCACTGCCCCCTTCCCCCTCTCTCCACGCCCCTCTGCCCCCCCTTCCCCCTTCCCCCTCCCTCCTGCCCCTCTCTTAGGTTTGTTGTCTTTGGCGCTCTCCTGTTTGTGTTTGTTTCTTTTTTTTCCCACGCTGCAGTGCATTTTCTCACGCCCCTTTTGATCGTTTTCTCTTCCTTCTCGCTGTGCTTTCGGTCGCCCCCGAAGCGGTCCTTTGGCTTTCTCTGCGTCGCTCTCCGTTGTTCCAAGCGAATGTTATCAGCTGTTATCGTGATTATATGCTTTGTTATCTTGTTATGTGTCTTCGTCGCCGTCTTGATGTCACGTCTTTAAGAATAATTTCGTTTTTCGTTTTTTTTTTTTCATTCTCTAATACCTTCCATTTCCTCTTTCTCATCCCTGCTCATTTCTCAGGTTTAACTCCCCATTCTCAGTTTTCTCTCCCTCCCTGTTCTTGTCTATCGCCCTCTCGCTCTCCCTCTTTCCCACCTCTTGGTCGCTCTCTGATTACCCCTTTCACGTCTTCACCACGACCGCCTCCTACCTCTTGGTGAGGGAGAGAGTTGGAAGGAGTGAGATGAAGAGAGGGAAAGGGAGAGAGTTAGAGGGAGTAAATTGAAGAGGGAGGGGGAGAGGGAGTGCGATGGGGAGAGGGAGGGGGTGAGGAGGGGGAGAGGGAGAGAGTAGAGGGAGTAAATTGAAGAGGGAGGGGGAGGGAGTGGGAGAGGAAGTGGAGGGGAGAGGGAGGGGGTGGGGAGGGGAAGAGGGAGGGGGAGAGGAAAAGGGAGGAGGAGGGGGAGAGGGGAGGGGGAGGGGAAGGGGGAGAAAGGAGAGGGAGGGGAAAGGGAGAGGGAGAGTTAGAGGGAATGAGATGAGAGGGGGAGAGAAGAGAAGAGAAGGAGTACCTCGTGCTCTGTTCTTTCACTTTATTTTCCTTCTTTTATCTCTCGTTATGCGCGTCCCAATTGAATTTTATCATCTTTGTCGTGATTTTACTGTTATCGTCATATGCGTTGCCGTCGCCGTCTTTATTTGATATTATCATTATTGAACCGTATTCATGTTGACAAATGTGGAAATTATCATTATTGCTGATTTTGATCAGTGTCATTTGTACCATGTACCGTAAGGTTTGATAGTATGTATATGCAAAAATATTCGATCTTGCTGTAAGATACAAATTGCAGTTAGTCGGTCATTCGCTCTCTCTCTCTCTTTCTCTTTCAATCTCTCTCCTCTCCCACTTCCACTTCCACTCCCACTCCACTCCTCCTCTCCGTCTCCACTCCCCCTTCCTCTCCCTCTCTCTCCCTCTCCCTCTCCCCTCTCCCTCCTCTCCCTCCTCTCCTCTCCCTCCCTCTCCTCTCCTTCTCTTTCCATCTTTCTCTCTTTCTCTCATTCACGTACTCACTCATTCACACACTCACTCACACACTAAGTCACTCAATCACTCACTC